AGCATTTGTGTCTACACTAGTCTATCTGAAGTGTCACTTTAAAAGCTGTAGTTTGAATGTCAAAGAAGTTTATTTCCAGGATGCTGTTGACAAACTTATTGTTCATTTTTAATTATTTTTTTTTTTTCAATACAACACAGTAAGTTTATTTTCTTTATTATTGAGTTGATGTGTATGCCTTTGGCAAAGCTAACATCTGCCTTATCCTCTTGCCTTTTCAAAATCAAAGGTGAAGATACCTGTGACAGTAATACAGTACGAAATGTGCACATCAACATGTGCCTCCTACAAATAAAGACTTGTTGTTTTTTTGATACACTGTGGTTAAATTCGTAATAATAGCTTCGTAATCCTGTGGTTTTAGCAGCATTTTTTTTTTTTTTTGGCCGATTTTTTTTTTCGCCCTCTCGCATTAGTTTTGGGGTCTTCAGAGGATTTCATCCATAAAATTAAATCAGTGTGGCCTTATACTTGTTTTAGATGTGTCAAAACGGTCGCATCAGACCTCTATGTACATAACTTTGACAAGAATCATACATCCGTAGACAGTTTTTGATTTTTGTAAAAGTTATTTAAGTAATATTTTATTTATTTTCTCAAAAAATCTACCCGACCACAGGGCTAGTAACGGTGGGTGCAGTAATTTCAAACACTGACCACAGCCCCTCAAATGTGTACTGGCGTAAGCAAAATAAACACGGCAGATTCTTTGGAGAGACGAACTGGGCAATCGCAGAAGGAATGTCTCAAAGCGAAACTAAAAATCGATACAAAACCTTAGTTTTCACTCAAAAATTAAACAAGTAGTGAAAGCAAACATGGCAAACTAGTTATTTCATAAATAATGCCGCGTATCGTGTTCCCTAGACAAGTTGTTGGCGTTAATCAGGTAAATTGGGGGGGGGGGTGTTATCTGGATGGAGGTAGATATACGTATATGTCAGCAGGTAGACACAAAGGGGCTTGTTAACTCACAGCGAAAATCCTAGTGCGAGCCCGAAGTGCGAGAAGGGAGGACACTCCTCAGCCCCGATGACGTCACAGTCGAACTGGCAGCCATCACGATGGTACACCAACTTTTGCGGCGGCCTTACAAAACGCCGACTATTTCAGCAAATCAGCTTCAAGTCAACGCCTGTGATGATACTTTACTAGTATTCAGTTTGTGAGAGATTTGTTCAAAGCCAAACTGTGTATAGCAGCCTAAAATTCTGATAACTTTAGCTGGACGTCATCGGGGTTGACTCGGAATGTCCTTCTCGCACTTCCCGCTTGCGCTATGTGAATTCACAGTCACTTGAAATGCTCCTGTGGGTGGACACAGGATTCTGTCTAATATATGTAATACGTGGATTTGATTGATTGTCATGGTCACAGGGAATAATAATAACATATATTACCTGTTTCACAATCGTACCCCGTGAATCCATAGGGGCACTGACATCTATAATAACCGTAATCTTCTAAACATGTCCCATTATTCTGGCATGGATTTGGAACGCACATATTAATATCTATGAAAAACAATATATACATGTATGTGGAAATCATAGAATATATTGCAGTTAAACATTTTTCTGTTTTGTGTAATTGTTGCCATAATACGTAAATAAGTTACAGCGTGCCGTAATTTTGGGGTATTTTACGGGGTATTTTCATCCTACCATATTAGGAAATGCGAATTCCAAATATGGAATGATAACGTGCGTAAGCGTCATCTAATAATAAAAACAAACATGGCTGCCACCAGAGTTTGACCGGACTCGATACTAAGAAGTTTGCTGTTTCTGTTCTAAACTTTTTAGATTTCGGCATTCCCATGATGTAGGTAGGAAAAGATGTATAATAATAAGGTTATTACGAAGATACCTCA